TTTATTTCCTTTTGGTTTAATGACTTTCTATAGCGGTATGCTCAGGTTCCTTTCTCCTTATCTTTCATGTATCTACCATAGGTTTTTGTTTTGTGGTTACCATGAGGCTCACACACACACACACATATATGTATAACAGTCTAGTTTAAATTGATAGCACATTTGATTTTGTTCTACAACTGCATTTTTCCTCCTCCCACAACGTGGTGTTTTTGATGCCACATTTTACATCTTTTTATTTTGTGTATCCCTTAATTAGTTATTGCAGTTATAGTTCTTTTTACTACTTTTGTCATACCTCACAAACAAGAAGGACCCCCCCCCAAAAAAAAAAGAAAAAGAAGCTCCAATGAAATCCTGCTGTCTCTAACCAGAGAACAGAGAAAGGGGTAACCTAACAAGATGAAACACTTAGACAAGAATTGCTCTCTCTACTTTAGTCAAACACCATAGGAAAAATTGAGGTCCCGATCCTTATCAATCATTAAAGGCTGAATGGGGAGTCCAGTTTTGCACAGCAGTTGTGAGTTGTGAACCATCCTAATCCTGTGGTCTGTTCCTATTCTCTGGTCCATCAGACACTTGTGATTTTCCATGGATTAAGATATAAACATAAAGCATTGGACATTTATCCAGTTTATATTAAGATTATCAAGGCATATTAACTCAAAGAAAATTAACAATTAAATCTTATGTGAAATTTATAATTGAAAAAAAGTTAAAAAATCAAGACTTCTTTACAAAATATAGAGATGAAGTTCTTGACCTAAAAAACTGCACTTGAGACTCAAGAACAGAAAATAGAGAAATTACTGATTTTTTTAAAAGTTCCTGCTTCTTCGCTTATGAAATTTAAACTGCTATGATATTTGTCACGCACGCACAAAATGCATATTCCTGGTTAGAATTAACTAACAGTCATGGTGCCACAACTTCCGTGTGCCACAACCTCCCTGGTGGGGTGGTGCCAAAGAAGTCGAGGCCCAGGAATTTCCTCCCCACCAGGAGTATCAGTCCTCATCCTACACAGTGCTAGTGGAGACTATGGAAGGATCCTGGGCTTCTCCCCCTGCCCGGCAGTAATGAGGCACCACTCCTCCGCCCCCAGGTGGCAGTGTCAGAGGAGGCCTACTGGAGAGTCAGGCCTTTTACCGTTGCTTGTGTAATGAGTCCACATTCCTCTCCCATGGCGTCAGTGAAGGCCAGGTGGGGAGCAGTAACAAGCCGGATGGAACCAGTGTAGACTTCACTACAATCACTCAGCAATAATGAGGAAGTTTTCCCACCTCCAGGTGCCAGCAGAGGCTAAGTCCGGGTTCAGCACCTGACAGTAACAAGATGGCACCTCCTTTCCCCACCCGAGCAGTGGCAGAAAAGGCCTGCGAAACAGAGTAGGATCTAAGCACCATTATAAATGAACACAAATGCCTGCGTATCAATCCAAGATTACTCATTATACTAAGAACCAGGAAAACCTCAACTTAAATTAGAAAAGACAATTAAAATATGCCAACATGACACAGCTAATGAAGTTATCTGAAGATTTAAAACAGCCATCATAAAAATGGATCAATGAGCAATTACAAACATGCTGGAAACAGAAAGACAAAGGCTCGGCAATTAAACTGAGGATTTAAAGACGAACCAAATGGAAAGTTTTAAACTGAAAAACACAATGTTAAAAATTTAAAAACTCAATGTGTGGGTTCAACAGCAGAATGGAATAGATGGAGAAAAGAATCAGTAAACTTGAAAGTGGAATCATAGAAATAACACAATATGAACAAAAGAGAGAAAACAGATTATATAAAAATGAACAAAAACATGTTGTTTGTTTTCTTGGTGTTCTTTGTACTATCTTATCATTGTTACCACTCTGGCAAAATTCCTTTGCATAATCCAGTATGACTAGCATGGTAGATTGCTCTTAATAGGTACAAGACATATTTTAAAAAAATTGTTATTGACCTTTTCCAGAGAGAGAGGAAGGGACGAGACAGAGAAACATACACGTGAGAGCAAAACATTAATCAGCTGCCTCCTGCATGTAACCTGACCTGGAACTGAACCGGCAACCCCTCGGTGCACTGGATATCGCCCAACCAATGAAACCACACCAGCCACAGCGATATTTTTCAATAAAAACAATAAACAACCTAAGAGACATGGGGAACTATAGTGAACGATCTAACAGTCATGTCATAGGAGTACCAGGAAAAGAGAAAGAGGGTGAGGCTGAAAAATATTCAAAGAAATAAAGGATAAAAAAATCCCCCAATTTGTCAAAAGACATAAACTTGAAGATTCAAAAATAAATAAATAAATAAATAAATACATGCCAGGACACACCATAATCAAACTTCCAAAAATTAAAGACTAAGAAAAAAATCTTAAAAGCAGCCTGAGAAAGAAAAAAATTACCTAGAGGGGAAAAACAATTCAGATAAGAGGATATTCCTCATTAGAAACCCTGGAGGCCAGAAGAACACCGCTTACCATAGAATACTACGCAGCAATAAACAGGAGCAGACTATAGATACATGTGACAAGTTAGATGAAGTGAAAAAGGTCAATCTTAGAAAATTTAAATTACATACCATATCATTCCTTTTATATGACATTCTCAAAATGACAAAATTATTGAGATAGTAAACATATTAGTGGTTGCCAGGGATTAGGTAGTGGGTGAGGGGAGGGAAGAAGATGGCTGTGGCTATAAAGGGACGACATTAGGGATCCTTGTGGTGATGGTCACAAAAATCTACACATGTGATAAAACTGCAAACACACACTGTACCAATGTCAAATTCCTGGGTTTACTATTTTAATATAACTTGGTAAAATGTAACTATTGGAGGAAACTAGATTAATGGTACATAGCATCTGTCTGTACTATATTTGCCAATTCCTATGAATCTACAATTATTTCAAAATTAAAAACACTACACACTTTGACCCAGTAATTCACTCAAATATTTTTGAAAATAATAATGGATGCTCACAAATATGTACTTATAAGGATGGCTGTTTTACGCAGTACTATTAAGTAAAACTTTTCATAACACCCAACCTCAACAATGCGGGGTTAAATAAAAATGTCATATCCACAATCACTGAAAATAGTATCTTAAGACATGCAAAAAGATTTTTGTTGTATTAACTCTTTTTAAAAAGCAGATTGTAAAACAGTATATAAAATGCATTGCATTTTTATGAAAATATATGTATACACATAAAACACAACAGTAAAGAAAAATACACCAAGTGTTTATCATCTCTAGGGATTATATTAATTTTACCTTTCTTTAGAATATCTTCCAAATTGTCAATAGTGAATACATATTTTTATACTGGGGCTACAAAAATATTTCCCATAGAAAAATAATTTATAAAAATATATTTACAAAAATAATCACAAACATCAAATAAATGTAATTTAGAAAACCAAAGATGAGTGAAGCTTTATTTTGTTTTATAACTAAGACCACTAACACACATAAAAGGACATGAAAAAAACTGGTTAAAGTAATAGGGAAAAATAATGATAACTGTCACAGGAAAGATTTATCTGTAGCACAAATCACTGTAGAAGAAGAAAAACCTTTTCTGAGCTACTTTGCAAGTGGAAATTTAGTATTGCAGCAACATTGGACAAGTTTTCTTTTCTCTCCCTGCTGGCATCAAACTCCCACTTCTGCTTTACCACATTTTTGCATTTTTTAGTAAATAGTAGGTCTACACTTAAAAATATAGTCAAGTTTTCCTTGACTATGCCAAACCAGATGAGTCTTCTGCTTCTCATAATTCCTTCCTGTAGCAGTTTGAGTAAAACTTTATAAGTTTACAGAATTAAAAATAATTCTAGCTAATGCCCTGGCCAGTTTGGCTCAGCGGTTAGAGCGTCAGCCTGCGGTCCACAGAGACCCGGGTTGAGTTCCCGCTAAGGGCATGTACCTTGGCTGCAGTTTGTCCCCAGCCCTGGTTGGGTTGTGTGGGTGGCGGCCACTCGATGTGTCCCTTTCACGTCGATGTTTCTCTCTCTTCCTCTCTCTCCTTCCCGCTCTATCTGAATAAAAAATGGAAAAATGTCCTCGGGTGAGGATAAAAAAAATAAAATAAAATAATTCTAGCTAATATTATGTTTCCCTCCAATGAATCTCCAGAGTCCACTGTTTGTTGGTATCCCTCCTGTGGTACTTTCATATTCTGCCTTTTAGAGCTACGTTCGTGTTTGTCTGATCTGTCCCCCTAGATTGTGAGTCCTCCAAGGTCAGAGCCTAGTCCACATTCATCTTTATCTATCCTGAATTGTACACTGCACTCTGTTAATAATGTCTTGTTCCATTAGATCTGCAATAAGATTATGAACACTTCAAATCAGGCATGTCAACTTCTGTTTCTTCATAATCCCTACAAGTACACAGTTTAGGTCTAGGTACGGTGATGTCTAATGTACACTTGCTGATTTCTACTTACTGAAACATCTTTAAGAACTATGTTGCTGAAGCCATAATATCTGACAATGCTGGAGACAGAAATGTTGATATAGAATAGGTAAAGTAGTCTCTAACTTTAGTCTCGGTAAACAGAAGTAGAGAATTCACACACATGGTAGAAGTTCAATAATGGGATTAAGAATTCGAAGGAAAAGGAAACAAGGAAACTAGCAGAAAGAAAATACATTTTTTAAAAGTATGCTTCCAATAAGCTTAAGAAAAATTACAAAAAAAAAATTGGCAAGTCACAGAAATTCTTTCACTGGAGAACTTAACAATAGTGCCTGTGACTATTTAGCCACAGAAATGTTCAGAAGCAAGGGGAAGGTATGAAATGACTTACTGTATGAACATACACTGTGTGAACAAATACTGTGAATGATATATACATATATATATATAACAAAACTCTATAAACACAACCCTGACAACTGTAATAATAATTGCCCTCTTTACTTCCTAAACAAACATAAAAGACAAATAACTAGACTCTACGATGCTTACATGTGCCTTTCATGCATGTCATTGTTGAAGAACATAACTCAATGACCCGGACAGCAGAAGTTCCTGGTTCCTCTGGGGGCACTGTCAGAATGGAAATCTAAAAAGCAGAAATAAAATATCAGACAGCTGTTAGATCTCATTTTCATTTCTTCTATCATTAGAGTCTAGCTCACATCAAAACTGAGAGTCTTTTTTCAAACACTCACTGATGTTTGAAAACATTTAGCTTGTAAGGATTTTAGAACAAATCTGATATATCACATGATTTCTGCATTATTCATGTATCACATATAGTGCATTCATATAATTAACAGATAATAAATATTTCAAATATCCTTAATATTTATCAAATCCTTCACTTATTTTCAAAGGATACAATTATGACTTACTACTTCTGTTTTATATGCAATTCAGTGTTTGAAATCAGATCATATTAAGTCAATTTTGATTATTCATAATGATTAAAAACAGCAGTTACAGAATACTAAAATATTTTTAAATGTTACAAATTCCAAAGATATTAAAACAAGCAAAGTATATGTCAACATACGCACCAAAGTACAGGCAAACACATACCAAAATGTTTCTAAATGAATGGCTTCAAATTGATTTAAGGAGTCCATTAATAAAACTGAAAAGTCAGAATTAAAAGTGAAATGGAAAATCATTACTAAATATTGTTTACTGATACCCAATATGCTGTCCTGGGCACCACTGATATGCTATATGGCTTTATATTTAAAAGACTTTAAATGACCATCAGGTCACTGTTTCTCTAGAGAACCAAAAGTCTCAATAGTATATCTCAGTCTAATCTTCACTCTAAGGAAACTATATCCTCTCATTTAGGAAATACTTGCCAAGAGGTAAAGCCCAATTTGGACTTTTATCTGTGACTATTATGCTAAGATTTTGACTGGTAATGTCAGGTGATATCCCCCAGAGGAAATTCCTCCAAGTTCTCAAAACAGAAATTAAAAAAAAAAATTTTTTTCTTTATTGATTTTAGAGAAAAAGGAAAGGAGAGGGAGAGAGAGATAGAAACATTGATGAGAGAGAACATCAAGTGGCCGCCCCCTGCATGCCCCCCACTGGGGATCGGGCCCACAACCTGGGCATGTGTCCTGACCAGGAATCGAACTGGTGACCTCTTAGTGCATGGGTTGATGCTCAACCACTGAGCCACACTGGCCGGGCAAAACAGAAATTATTTTGACAATCATGACTATCCTACTATCATATTACTCATATGTGCATTTATGGGCTTATGGTGTCTCAAAAGCTATGTTCTCCACATGCCTATTAATTCCCTTTGCTGCTGCCCATGATACAAAATGTACTTTAGCATTAAAGAGGGAAGAGCCACTAAAATATGTATTTCATGTTGTGTTATAATTATCAAGCAATTAGGACTAAAAACATGACCCTAACTGGAAAGGTCGCTGAGGACTGCAAAAACATTTAAGCACTTCTTTTGTTTCCTACAACTAGCATGTATAATTTTTTTAAATTGAGATATAATCTGTAACCTCATACTACAGCACCTGCCATCTCCTGAACTCTGAGAAGGTAACTGTCTTAAATTTCACACACAGTATAAATGCCATCAAAAGAGAATTTCCTCAAACCTCTAATACCACTTCCATTAAATGTATCTGGACCTATACATATTCTTTCCTTTCTTTAAGTCTCATTTTATTTATGCCTCAAAATTCAAAGAGAGAGAGAGAGAGAGAGAGAGAGAGAGAGAGAGAGAGAGAGAGAGAGAGAGAGAAACATATAGAAAGCAAAGAAAGGCTGCCCAGACGTACATTTTTGACTGATCGCTCTGATGGACGTGTGGAGGATGGATGTGAAGGAGGTGAGAGGCAGGGCAACCCTTTCTTTCTTTCTTTCTTTCTTTAATTTTTTAAATTGAATTTCTTGGGGTGACATTGCTTAATAAAACCACACAGGTTTCAAGCGTACAACTCCACCACACATCATCTGCACAATGCATCGTGTGCCCATCAGCCAAAGTGAAGTCTCTTTCTAGGTCCATTTATCTCCACTTTGCCCATTAACACCTCTCCCATACCCCTTCCCTCTAGGAAACATACTGTTGTCCATATCTGTATTTTTCTTCTTCTTAATCCCTTCACCTTTTTAGCCTCGCAGACCCCAACCCGCTCCCTCTGACAGACGTCAGTCTTTTGTGTATCTATAATTCTGTTCGTATTTTATTTGGTAGTTTATTTTATTACATTCCACATATAAGTGAACTTCAGAAGGCAGAGAGGATGAATTGCGAAACTGGAGCAGTGCAAACGGGGACAGAGAGGAAAAGTAGAAGAGAGCAAGTTTTAGGAAGCACACTGACAGGACACGGAGCTCAGAGACGGAGGAGCTGTTGGAAGGATGTCAGTGCTCCCTGTCGAGGCAGGAACGCCGGATACGCCGGATGAGTAGTTCCGAGAGGGAAGAGTGTGAGTTCAACTCTGTGTATATTCAGTTTGAGGGCCCTTGGGATAGATGTCCAGTAGGAAATTTAGCATGAGGGTCAACACTCCTGGGAGACACAGAAGTGGCTGCCACCAACATTTATGCAGAGTTGAAATCATGAGGGTACGTGGAGTCAAGCAGCAAATACTCAGACCCAGAGATACTGCGGGCTGAAGCGAGAACTCTCAGGAGCCTCGATATTTACACAGAGGACAGAGCCCACAAAAGAAGCAGACAGCACCCGGCCAGTGTGGCTCAGTGGTTGAGCATCAACCCATGCACCAGGAGGTCACCAGTTCGATTCCCGGTCAGGGCACATGCCCAGGTTATGGGCCCGATCCCCAGTGGGGGGCATGCAGGAGGCGGCCAATCCATGTTCTCTCTCATGGATGTTCCTATCTTTCTCTACCTCTCTCTAAAATCAATAAAGAAAAAAATTTAAAAAAAGGAAGACGCAGAGAGGGAGTAGCCAGAGCTATGAGGAGAGACAGGAGAGCGCAGTGTCATAGAAGCCAAAGGAGTATGGCCTTTCAAGAGAAAGGGAACCATCAACCTTTTGTCAAACGTACCAGAAAAGACCTAGTGACAAAAACCAAAAAATGTCCTGTGGCCCTGACTATTATAAAGTAATGAATAAACTTAGCAAGAGAAACTGTGGTAGACATGTGAGGGAAGAAGCCATGCTGGCGTAGAAATGAATGAGAGGTAAGGAGCTGGAGGCAGCAAGTATAGACATTATCTTGAAAATGTCGATAAGAGCAGGGAAGAGATTGGATACTAGCTAGTGATGGGAGCAGAGTCAAGGGAACATTTTTTTGTTTATTTAGGGGACAGAAAATGCTAGTATATGTATATAGGTTGAAGGGAAAATGCCAGTAGTAGGAAGAGGCTGAGGATGCAGGAGAGAAAGCAGGCATGCGGGGCGGGGGGTGGGGTGGGTGAGGGGTGTGTGTGTGTGTGTGTGTGTCAAGGACACGTGTGAAGGGCTTGGCCTTGGACAAGGAGGGGAGCCCTCAATCTCTGTCCTGGTGTATGGAAGTTGGAGTTAGTGGAACAGGATGTCAAGGGCCATTGTGTTCAGAAGGTGGCCTCACTTTTGTCAGTGAAGAGGGGATGGGGTGGTGAGAGATTTAGGGAGAGAAGAGTGGGTAAAACAGTGAAGACCTGAATTAGATCCTGAGGGGAAGGGGACAGGAGCTGTCTCAAGCCAGTGGAAGAGCTAACTGGATGGAGGTAGGTACTCAAGTCCAGCTGAATGAGGCTGTTGCTCCTGACACTGTGGCAGAGCCAGTCGGCCTGGTTGTGTGGTTTTCTCAAGAAGCCCTGAGTGATCCAGATGGAGATTATTGCCTCATCCAAGTGACGGGAGTTTCCTCCTCTGAGGATGCAGTGGAAGAACATGACTACAAGGGAACCGAAGGTGTTGGCAGAAGGGCAGTTGAGATCTACCATAGGATCTAGACCACAGAAAAGGAAGAGGGCAGAAGGGAGCTGGTGATCTGGGAGGAAACAGAAGGGATGAGGAATTGCAGGTCTCTTAACAGGTCATTGACCAGGCAAGGTAGGGGTCAGAGAATGAAAGCTGGAAGGGCAGGAGCAGATTAATGTCACTGTAAATACATGACCTCCAGACTCAACTGGGCCATTAGCACTGTCCAGCCACATGACCATGAAACAGGTCACTCTCCAACTCTCCACGGTGATTATCTGACATCTTTCCCTGAGCTCTGACCCATCCCCACTCTCACATCCCCATTCTCAGGAAACTACCTCACCTTGTAATTTAAAGAGTAAATGGAACCCATCAGATGGGAACTCCCAAACCTACAAAGGATCCTGTATTCATCCTCTTATTTCAAGGTGTCTCACATCCCACCTAACAGCAATGCTTTTACCTGTTCTCTGAACCCCATCCTCCTTGGTCTTAACCTGGACCTTGCTGCATCAATAATACTCCCTTTCTCGTGGTATTTTCAACCTCACTCTCCCCACTGGCTCAGTATCATTAGCTGAACTATACACTAAGCTTTTAAATATAAGAGAAACCCTCTTCACTTCCACATCCCTCTTTTACTTTTGACAGCTTAACTTCTTCAGTATTGTCTGTTTTCTCTTTAAAAAAAAAGTTTTTATTGATTTCAGAGAGGGAGGAAGGGAGAGGGAGAGAGATAGAAACATCAATGAGAGAGAACATCGACTGGCCACCTCCTGCATGCCCCCCACTGGGGATCAGGCCCATAACCTGGGCATGTGCCCTGACTGGGAATTGAACTGGTGACCTCTTGGTGCATGGGTGGACGCTCAACCACTGAGCCACACTGGCCGGGCTGTTCTCTTCACTTTCCTGCCTCACTGTTATTCTTCAGCCCTCTCACAAAGCTCATGGTTCACTGGGAGATACAGATGAGTCACCCGGCAAAGACGGGCCAATGTGATGAGTGCTGCCATAGCTCCTGCAACTCCTTACTCACACTGGTTACACTGAACTAGTTGCTCTTTACTTGTGTGTATCTGTATCCTCCAGACATCCAGCTATGTGGGCAGAGATGCTACTATGGTCAGCACGCTGGCTGGCATGTAAAAAACACCTATTGTTTTATACAATTGAAAGTTTCCAACTTAAGGAATTGTAGGGACCTATTTTTAGTAGTTAACATATAAAATAGGTCTGACAGCCACACTTACTGGGTAAGCTGATTTTATCAGTCGCTATGAAATATGGTCAGAAGGGGAAGGGGGCATAGCTCTGGAATTTAGGTGAACAGATGGAGGGAAAACCTCAGGTAGAGAGACACTCCTAGAGAATTGGAGATGAGGAGGAAGAGGGTATTGACATGAACAACGGCAATAGGGAAATATCAGAAATGAAAACGTGTGTTGAGACTCATTCACGCCAGGCCCGGTGTTGAAGGTTTAGTTACCATAAAGTCTCTTCCTCCAAGATTTTTAAATGTGTTCTCTGGAGATTATCTTCTCATAACTATATATTTTCAGTTTCAAAGAAATAGTTGTTGGAACACTAGGATTTAGTCCAATTTTCCTAGCATAAATCTGTTACATAAAACACAATTATTTGTTCTGTTGGAAGGAAATCTTTAAGAAACCAAGATTATTACATAATCGCCATTGTTATATTTAAAAATGTATTACGGCTTAACACATTTTATTTCACCAATATTAATTTACACACATCACCGTATAGATTAAATGAGTGGCACGTTATTAAGAAGTAGAGGACTAAAATTACCTGCTGATCTGAATCTGCTTGTAGTACAGATCTATCTGTAATCAGGACCGCCCTGGAAATTTGCCTGTAATGCACAAAACAGTTAATCAGTGATTCAGATTGCATGGATAAGTTTCATTTATAGTTATATAACCACCAGAAGGCATGTTTCAAAGATTTAAGTCACGATAAAAGAGTCACCTCCCCAAACCGAGTCAAGTTGTGCTTTAATCTTTTCTTGGCTCATGAAAGGAAGGATATGTGACCTGCAGACAAACCCCAGCTGATGCAAAGGAGTCAAAATTAGGCTAGGTTCCCCAAAACCAGACCCTACGCGAGAACAACGGTAACATCTTCAATACATCTTTTGTCTGGTACATATCTGCATCTTCCTGGGACAACAGTTATATAGAAGTGTCAATGTAATCACACAGCTAAATTTTCCCATATTTCCCCTCCCCTTGGACAGTGGGTGAAGTGGGGCCTTACCTGTATTGCACGTGGGAACATGTGTTCTCAGAAAAGTAACTGTCCTCCACAAGGAAATGCTTAGCGATTATTCTCTGACCAAACTGATCTATGATTGCTTTGCATCTACAAAGAAGACGAGCACAGCAAAAACGTTCTCATTGAGGATTAAATAATTGAGCAGATGAACATAATCAGCTACCAATTTTGAATGTAAAACCAATTTCTTGGAAGACAAGATTTTAAAATCGCCTGCCATTTCACATTTTCGACACAAAACTGACACTAAATGCAGCATATATATATTCATCTTGCTATTTGAAGTCTTTTAAACTGTAAGTGTGAGCGAGAACTTAAATATTTATTTGGAGTGGCATTGTTAAGCAAGAACAAAGTTAGGACAACTACGTAGTATAAGTTTTTCTAATGTTTAGGAACATAGAAGCTTTTTCCTTTGTTTAGAAAACAGGCTCTTTTTTTCCTTAACAGATCTAAGAAAAGGAGAAGGGAAAAGTTGATAAATATCTTGCTATATCATTCACAGCCTATAAAAGCCACTAAAGGCTTTTTATTTTTCTGTTATGTGTTGCTTTCTCTTTTGTTCAAGAATAGCTCTCTGGTCACACGTGTGATAATGTTTTAGACATTAAAAAAAAAAAAGCCTAGAGCTTCTTTTAATATCTGTTTCCACTTTACTTCAAAGGATGATCATAGAAAGATTTCTTTCAAGTGCTGTTTCCAAATAAGGAAAACACTTATGCATGGACATTATCAGGTCTCTGTCATCTGATATGTGTTGGGACAATGAATCACACAGAACCCTTCATTGACCTTCTTTCAATGTGTCTAGATAAAAGGATGAAAATTAGAATCCATCTCCTTGCAGTGCCACAAGTTATAAATGTACTTTATAGGGCTCATTATCCAAACTAATGGACTAAGGGCAACATCCTTGAAATGGACTTACCAGCACTGACAAAGCCAGTATGCAATATTTCAGAAACTATATGCAAATGCCTGCATGTTTGCTGTATCTTTTTATTATGGAAATAGCAGTTTACTTTTGTCACAGCTTCTCCTTTTGGGATCAGAATTTTATTAGAAACACTCTTATATGTATGTCCTGATAAAATGCAAGCAAATTATTTCAAACCTATACCATATTTTAAATATACTGCTATAAATTAAAATATGCCGTATCACTCTAAAATTAAGCCACATCAAGAGATATTTACCAGGCATCAAGGTATTAAAAGTCAAATGACAAACACCCAAGACCAACAATGAGATGAATTTAAGGTGTATTTCCTAAAGGCAAATGGTGATATGCTGGTATTCTTGAATAAATGGTGTCCCACTGTTATCGAGATAGACTGATATGATGTTAAATTTATACGTAATATATATTTTTATCAATTTACTAGATATTAGTATGTGTTGTCACTTTAATATCTGTGATTTCCATATCTCACCTCCACTTCCTTTCTCTTCCCAACTTCTACCTCCTCACATTTCCTTGAGCTAGAGCTCTTGCTTTATAAAATATGTAACTAAATAGATATGAAGTATTTATACCTCAATACTGCATTTTCAAAAATAATTACTTAAACAGTAAAAAGGTAAGTTACTCACTCAGACTCTTGTTTTAAAACATTCATACACAATTTAAAACACAAGGTACTTTAGGCAAAGGGGAAATCTGCTGATCCATCATTCAACATTGTTCCCTATTTGTCCTGGAAGCTCTCACAAGCCTTTGTCTTACCTTTAATTCAGAGACTATATAATATAAAGTCAAGAGGGACTTTATCTTGCCCGGCCAGTGTGGCTCAGTGGATTGAGTGTTGTCCCATGGACTGAGAGGTCCCGGTTTGATTCCCAGTCAGGGCACATGCCCAGGTTGCAGGGTGGATCCCCAGTAGGGGGCGTGCAGGAGGCAGCCGATCAATGTTTCTCTCTCACATCAACGTTTCTCTCTTTCTCTCTCCCTTCCTTTTTCACTTAAAAAAATCAATAAAGACGTAGTTTTTTTAAAAATCCTCTGTATCTTGATAGGTATTTGGGCTATATAGTTATATCATTTGTCAAAAGTCAGCTAATGAACACTGAGATTTTGGCACTGCACTCTATGTACATTTTCCATCAAAAGAAAAAAGTTGTACATAAATATTAAACTCTAGTTAATGATCTGCATGCCAAGGTGTTTAGGGGGAACTGTATTTACATCTGGACTTTACTGGGAAATGCTTAAAAAAGTGAAAAGGAGGATAGAGGGTAGATATATGATTAAGCAAGTACATTGAAATGTTAAGTGTAGAATCTAGGTGATGGATATACAGGTGTTCACCCTGAAATGCTTTCAGCTGCAGCATAGATTTGAAATTCACCCTAAAATATTGGACTAACATTGGCATGGAGTGGTGTCAGCAGAAATCCTGGACTCTAGTCTTAGTCTTTGCAGAAAGCTCCCCTTTATATAAACTGCACAGTTAAGCCTGGCCATAAGCTATGGAGAACTCCTTGCTTTGCAAGAATCCAAACTCTAATAGGGCTGCTTCAATGGTAGCCACATCTTTGGGGACAGGTAGACGTTGTTTTTAGAAGTTATGGTATTAGAAGGAACTAACAGGGACCACTCAGAATGGAAGTATGGGGACATGGGGATTAGGGAGCTCAACAATACAAGGGCAATATACCAACAAATGTGTCTGTTTATGCTGAAACTCCTGAGTGAGACAGTGATTCTCAGAGGAGGAGGAGGAGAAGGAAGCAAATCAGAATCACACCTGGGGGACTTTTTTCAATTACAAGTACCCCTGGAGATTCTGATAAGCTCCCAAATCCCAGTGAAGAAGCACAGTCAAGCCGGCCACTGCTACTATTGTATCTCTGTGCTGTGCTAGGTGGAGAAAAGTCAAGAGCTATTGCTACAGGAAGAAAAAAAAAAAAAAATATATATATATATATATATTGATTTCTGCAGTAATTGAAGTTATGGTCACATATGCTCCGTCAGTCTGGCAGATGATAATAACACAGCCCACCTGATAGTCTCCTTCTGCAGTACTAGGGCTCTAGGCCTGAACAATTCAGAGCAAGACACACATTTAAGTAAGTGATAAGATTTGTTTTCCCCTCAGACACTTGGTTTACTGTCATATATTCGGCCTAATTGGGAGAACAATGAAGAAAGGGATAGTGACTTGGGACCTAGACTTAAGAGTTTGTAGTATAATATTAATATAAAAAATTAGATGACATTCAGGTAATGGAAAACAGCCAAATGAAACAGTGCTGCCAGAGACATTAAAATACCCTCCTGCCACCCCCTTCCATGTGAACCTGAGGAAGCCATTAAAGATTAACAGCATTTTGGATTTAGTTGAGGGCCTTGCTGAGCCTCATAAATAGTAAATTGAGGAGGAACATGACAAAGCTGACCATAAGAATCACTGAAGCCAGACGGAACATTTCTAGAGCTGAGTTTTCTAAATCAACAAATCACAATACTTACTCAGATCTTAGTGCAATGACACGCGGGTATAAATAGCGAAATGACGATAAGGAAGAAAACACTCAACAAGACAAAAACTCTTTATCTGGAATTTGGCCCAGAAGAGAAAAATAACATTAAAACAGGTATCTGATCTCTATGATCTTCAGAATTAATATCCCAACTAATTGGATGGGAAGGAGTGCAGAAATCACAGACGAAATCATTTTTAAAAACACGAATTAAGGAAATGAGAAGATTCCCAAACATTGAAGGAAACAAACTAATTCTCCCTACTCACTATGCCCTTTCATGATTTCTCAAACACATTAGTCCACAAGCTACCCCTCAATGACACCATTCCAAAACACTTATCATTCATTTCTCTTGGGTAAAAATCCCCTCCAATAGCTTCAAATGCCATCAATCTGCTCTGACTAATCCAAAGCTCTGTATCCATATTTTAAATTGTTTATTACCTATTTCTTTCTGGAGAGACTCCAAAAGCTTTTTCAACCTAGCATGCCCCAAACTGAGTTCATCATGGTTCCTCATCTGCTTACCCCCTTGGAATCTTGATCTCAGGTAATGACATGACCAGCACTTAACTGAGTTTCCCTAGCTCAGAATCTCTGTTCCCACACCTAACCCACCACTCGGTTTTCATTCCACCTTATAAAGATTTCCTGAAACTCACCTCTTCTCTCCATCTCCACCGACACTGCCTTAGACTCTTGTTCAGTCTAATAAGACAATGGACTACTAGCAAGTTGGTAGTTGATTTGCTCAAGATAAATGTATGGCATTACAACCATGTGCCAATCACTGTTCTAAGAGGTAAAATAAAAATATCTTGTCCTAAAGGAACTCCCAATATAATAAAGATTCCGGCATGGGCAAGTATAAGACAATGCCCGAGTCCAGTGATAAGAGAACAGAACAGGGCATCCAGGGATTACTGGGGGAGGGGGTAGTAGAGGGGGAGGGTAGCTGCTTTTGAAGTATGAAAACCAGTCAAGCAAGGAAATAAGGAGAACACTGCAGATCGAAAGGCAGCAAGGCAGCATGTGCAGGGGTACAGAGGCAAAAAAGAGAAGTATAGGAAAACAAGCAGTTCACTGTTGATTGACAGTAAAATGGAAGCAGGGGTTGGGGGCAGAAAAGAGATGAGCTTAGAGAGGCGAGCAAAGACAGTTCCCTAAGCTTCACGTGTCACGTAAAATGGTCATAAACTTTATTCTGAAGTGCTATAAAGCCACTGAAACTTTTTACACAGGGAGGGACAGAGCCAGATCTGCATGTTGAACAGATCTTGTTGTGTAATTATCTCCTTAATTTATTTGTTCTTTAATGATCCCTGGTAGACTCTGAAGTCCATGAGAACAAAGACCATGACTGTCTTGCTCTCTGCTGTGTCTCCGGTGCCTGGCACACAGAAAATAACTAACAATTGCTGCACGGATGACTGAATAGGTGGATGGATGATGATGAAAGTATTCTATGCATGTGAACAGTGCAGAGGCAGAAATAAAGATACAGAATCTCGAATTTAGGAGGCAAAGAATCTCTTTCCATCAAGTGTTTCTGCCAAACCACTGCCAGAATTACTAACTTAAAAGTAGCAAATCTAGCC